TTCCCATTTAAATTGAACCACAAGGCAAAAAACATGTTATAGGTCACAGAAAACAGGGGATGTCACTCCATCTCTCTGGTGGTTTAATGGTATCAGTAGGTGCTTTGAGTCAGATGTGGGAGTCACAGGGGCCGATGTAATGGAAATCTGTGATAAATTCATATTGTAGCAACATATTATCCCATATTGTCTTACCACCCCCAAAAGGTACTCCGTAAATTCACACAACCTGAATCGAATGAGAGAAGAAGAATGATCAAATCAAATGGCAATAAATACTAAATCTTTATTTTGTTTTTCCACTTAAAAACCATGGAAGAATAGAAGCGACTATTTCCACATTTTTCACAAGGATGAAACATCACAGACACTATCATGCAGTTGACTGGATTTATTGGCCTAAATGCAAGATAAAGAGAGCATCCACAACATGAACAGAGGTTTGTGCAAATGCAGGCTTGCCTATCACATCTTAACAGAAGTAAGCATGCAATAAATTCCCTTTTTAGAAATAAAATATAATCTATGACCTCAAGATCATCCAGTGGTTCAGGGAATACACCGCAGGGCAATAGACTGGCCTGTATTATCTTCCACCCATTGTGCAGTAGTGTTCAGAGCCCATGTTTGTCAGTGGTGAATGCAAAAGAAATACCTCAGATTATGCACTCTTTGCAGTGCTCATTTAAAAACAGTCATTCTCCCTGCATAAATATTTTAAAGGAGACATTCACCATCCAAATCAATACTGCTAGACACAGAATGCATCAGGGTTAGCAATACCTGCAACTGACTGTGCTTTTGCTCTAAAGGGTTTATTCTTAAGATGAACTAAGCAATGGAGGATTTGAGTTGATGGAGTGTGCTTTGGCTTGTGCCTGAGGGCAACATTAAATGATGAGCCATGTTGTCCAGGGTGGGTCTTGTTGGAACAACAGTACAGTACAGCAAAGATACATCAGAAAGGTTATTCACATCCCGTTCCCCGTCAGGAACAGGAATACTGATTCATATCAGCATGATATCACTTGCTGTTGCTCGGAGTGTGTAATGCATGTATGGTCTTAGTGTGCGCATATGTTGGGGTGCGCACAAGCCAATTTTATGAAAATGCACACTGTTTTAGCTTATAAAGATATGGACCAAGGGGCTGTAACGGATAACAGTGTACCCCATCATCTTGCCAATGATTCATACATTTCTCAATATAGATCTGATAAGGTTTTGTGCCATTGCACAACAGTAATCCTAAGAATGAGATATCCATTCATGTGATAAATAAATCCATGGCAGTATGCCATCATGAGAAATGGTGTCATCATATTCAAACAAACACATAGTAGATATCCAAATAAAAACAAACAATTAATGTAATAAATATAATGTAGAGTACTTCAATATATTACCATTGATGTTGGAACTCAGTCCAACAGAATATTGGCAAATGTTCTACAGCGCATTCGGAAAGTATTCAGACCCCTTGACTTTTTCCACATTTTGTTACGTTATAGCCTTATTCTAAACTGGATTAAATTGTTGTTTTTTCCCCTCAGCAATCTACACACAATACCCCATAATGACAAAGCAAAAACAGTTTTTTCTACATTTTTGCAAATGTACATAAAAATAAATAAAAAGTATTCAGACCCTTTACTCAGTACTTTGTTGAAGCGATTACAGCCTCGCGTCTTCTTGGGTATGACACTACAATCTTGGCACACCTGTATTTGGGGAGTTTCTCCCATTCTTCTCTGCAGATCCTCTCAAGCTCTGTCAGGTTGGATGGGGAGCGTTGCTGCAGAGCTATTTCCAGGTCTCTCCAGAGATGTTCGATCGGGTTCAAGTCCGGGCTCTGGCTGGGCCACTCAAGGACATTCAGAGACTTGTCCCGAAGCCACTCCTGCATTGTCTTGGTTGTGTGTGCTTAGGGTCATTGTCCTGTTGGAAGGTGAACCTTCGCCCCAGTCTGAGGTCATGAGCGCTATGGAGCAGGTTTTCATCAAGGATCTCTGTACTTTGCTCATTTAATCTTTCCCTCGATCCTGACTAGTCTCCCAGTCCCTGCCGCTGAAAAAGATCCCCACAGCATGATGCTACCACCACCATGCTTCACCATAGGGATGGTGCCAGGTTTTCTCCAGACGTGACGCTTGGCATTCAGGCCAAGGAGTTGAATCTTGGTTTCATCAGACCAGAGAATCTTGTTTCTCATGGTCTGAGAGTCCTTTAGGTGCCTTTTGGCAAACTCCAAGCGGGCTTTCATGTGCCTTTTACTTGGGAGTGGCTTCCATCTGACCACTCTACCATAAAGGCCTGATTGGTGGAGTGCTGCAGAGATGTTTGTCCATCTGGAATGTTCTCCCATCCCCACAGAGGAACTCTGGAGCTCTGTCAGAGTGACCATCGGGTTCTTGATCAACTCCCTGACCAAGGCCCTTCTCCCCCGATTGCTAATTCTAAGAAAAGTCTTGGTGGTTCCAAACTTCTTCCATCTAAGAATGATGGAGGCCACTGTGTTCTTGGGGACCTTCAATGCTGCAGACATTTTTTGGTACCCTTCCCCAGATCTGTGCCTCGACACAATCCTATCTCGGAGCTCTACGGACAATTCCTTCGATCTCATGGCTTGGTGTTTGCTCTGACAAGCACTGTCAACTGTGGGACCTTATATAGACAGGTGTGTGCCTTTCCAAATCATGTCCAATCAATTAAATTTACCATAGGTGGACTCCAATCAAGTTGTAGAAACATCTCAAGGATGATCAATGGAAACAGGATGCACCAGAGCTCAATTTGAGTCTCATAGCAAAGGGTTTGAATACTTATATAAATAAGGTATTATTGTTATTTTATTTTTTATACATTTGCAAAAATGTCTAAAAACCTGTTTTCACTTTGTCATTATGGAGTATTGTGTGTAGATTGATGAGGAATTTTTTTTATTTAATCAATTTTAGAATAAGGCTGTAACGTAACAAAATGTGGAAAAGGGAAGGGGTCTGAATACTTTCCAAATGCAATGTACCTCCATTTCCCCAACCTACACGTCACACACTGCAGAGCCCCAGTGTGGAGATGAAAGTCCATCCAGGGTTATTTACATTCAGCTGATCAAGTAGGACTCCAGATCTGGGCCTCCTGAATCAATGGGCCCCAGCTTGTGGTCCTTAGTGACAGATACACACTCACTGTTCTTCAAAGGAGCGCAGAGCACAGCACACAGGAGCACCGTACCAGGGGGAGTTTAGCCGCAGTTATGTACATAAGGGCACATGGGCCATCTGGTAGAAGTATTGAGTGACAAGCCAAAGTGAACTTGATAATTACAAAGTTGCATTAACAAAGGAGAGAGGCAATGGCACGGACTGGCATCAACATCTAGAAACCCATATTATGCTAATTGACTCATAACCATTTATACCATTTCAGTGATTCAGGTTAACTCTGTTTGCATCATATCTGACGTAGATACCTAATGCACCTCAACTACGTCAGTAGAATTTTTAGCAGAAGAAGTTTATGGAACTATGTGCAAGACTTCTTACCCATGATTTATACAATCATCAAGTCAAAGTGTCAACAGAGGGAACAGAGTAGTTCCTGGAGGGAGAAAATTGTTCCAGTACATATTAATCATGGAGGGATGTGCATGGAAAGCTGCTTGTCATAAGTCAGCAGCATCTCATCCAAACAAGTCAATATGAATACAAGGCCATGCACCCCCTCTCTGGTATTTTCTCATTAATGTCAATGTATACTCCTGTGACATTTGCACTCTTCAAACAATATAAATCATGTAAATTCCACCGTATTTAGATTCTTTACCAGACAGTGCAGTGAGGTCTTTCACATGAGTAATGAGATGCAAGGTTATCTCCCTTGAATAAGATAAAAGAAGACCTACAATATCGTACAGCCTTGTGATATAAACACCATGAAGAGCCCTATTTAAAATGTTCCTCATTAATTCAGTTAAGAAAAGTAACTGGCTAAAGCTCCAGATAGGTCAGGTTTAGAAAAAGATAAATCCCTAAGGTATGTTTCATAGGGAGGTAATGGGCACAATAGTTGAAAAATATCTGATTTAATCTTGATGTAGATCTTTATCTTTAATTTATACTGTACATATGTTTGTTTATATTTGTTGACTTATTTATTCTTTATATACTTCGGTAACATTTTATTTGAATGCTCTGCCATAATGCCTGCATAAGGTTATTATAAACCTGAGATTGACATAACATGTATTTATGTCACATCGCTAAATCTGTAATAAATCAGTAGGCTTCAAAACTTTGTACTGTAACGTAATATTAGTGTGAGTCATGTTACAAAATGTCAAGTTTGCATGTATATGACTACCTTATCTGTGCAGGCATCATGCCGGAATAGTAAAATAAAGTGTTACCTAAATCTCTTTCCTCAACATTGAAAGACTCATGTGGTTTGATATGTTTAGATCCCCCCCCCTCCCCCAATCCTTCAGTTGGCAGGCTCTTCACACAATACCAGTAATGGGCAGTAAGACTTAGCAGAGCAAAATGGACACAGAGGAGAAGCAGACTGAAGCCTTGGAGAGTCTTGAAAGTAATAGAAAACCAGTTGAGGGCCGAGGTGCCAGTATCAGGGCAGAAGGGAACAGAGAGCCTGTGATCATAGTTGATCAACTCTGGGAGGGATTCACCTGCATGCATCCCCAAAACAGGAGGAAGAGGATGAAGGCTCCAGCATCATGCTGAACAGGCAGATGCATGCACAGCCAGGCAGAGGGACATGATCCGAACGGAGAGAGAAAACAATCCAAAGGTTTCAGTCTGTGTGTAAATGATGTACGAATGAAAAAGGAATGATAACAACACTAATATCAATGACCATGGTTCTTGGTCCAGAGCAGCAATCTGCACCCTCTCTCTCTCTCTGCTGGACTGAGATGTGGTCAGGCCGTGGTCCCCACTGCTGGCAGTCATTCTGTAGGGGTGTTGGCAAGGGAGGTGGGAGAGTCACATGATGGGACAGGGCGGCATGGGGCAGATGGCCTTGTGACTGTAGTACTCCACCACCTGGTTGGGCACCTCCGCCAGGACACATTTGGCCAAGGCAGCTGGGCGAGGCCTGTGAAAAACAGAACACAACTGTAGTCTGGACAGTTCTGACACAAGACCCCAAAGGGTTAAAGCAATCATTTTCAGTGGCACCCAAATCCAATGAAACTCCAGGCAAATTGTTTTTTAATCTAACAAAGGAAGAATGGAACGAGTGATTTGTGTTTTCCGTTGTTTGGGCAGCGGTCAAAAGGAAAGAGGGCTTTGGGGAGCACACAGACAAATCGCATCAAGCTTTTGGAGGTATTTTCTGCATTTTTCATCGTAACCTTTTCAAAATTAATGGATTTTCTTTGCTGGTGACATTATTTTTTTTCTTAGGAGGTATTTCTGAAGCCAGCAGATGAGAGGCTGCCTGGCTGTTAGCTTGTCTTCAAAGCCCCATTGGAGGGTAATGCTATTACTGAAGGGGCTTTGGAGGTCACACTGGGAGACTTAATGGCCACCAGCATCGCTATTATAAAAAGTACTTCAGTTTCTGAGACCTTGGAGACCCACACCTCTCTGTTCTTTTGGCCTTGGTTGGAATATGACTGTGGCATAGCAGAGTGTAGAAGGAGGTAGGGAAGGAAGGAGAGTTGGAGTGATGGAGGTATAGAAAGAGGAAGGGAAGGAGGGGAATACTGACCGTTTTGAAGTCTCTGAAGGGCACAAACTGCACAATGTCCCTGAGGACGGGCTCTCCTTTGGGCGAGCGCAGCACCCCGTCATCCCCGTCCAGGATCTGCATGTCTGTGAAGTCTGCATTGCCCACGCCAACGATGATGATGGACAGGGGCTGGTAGGAGGCGCGTACGATGGCCTCGCGTGTGTCCGCCATGTCTGTCACCACGCCGTCCGTGAGGATCAGCAGGATGTGGTAACGCTGGAGGAGAGAGGAAAGAGGAGAGGAGAGGGTTGCGGTTGCGTGTTAACCTTTGTCACCACACACTTCAGTGCCCTTGGCTTGTCTGTGTGTAACACATTATCCTCTGAAATCTGATTGCTCCCACTGAGAAACACTGAGAAACTTCATCCTGTATTAATCTCTAGTCTCATCAACACCTCTCTCTCTCCCTGCAGGATATCAATATGAATGAGAAAATCCTCAACATCTACAGATATCCTACATTTGCAAAAGTCGGAATCAGTGGATTTTACATATGAGGTCTATGAGTGTATTCCTATGTATTCTGCTCTCAGATGTCCCATGAGTCCCTAGTGATGAAAGTGCCCCGGCTGCAGTTTTAACTCGTCCTGAATTCTCTTTGCATTGATCCTTTGGTCTCATTTATTGATCAGGAGAAGAAGGGATGATTGAATAATAAATGAAGATCAGTACAAGGACGAAGCAGAAGAAATGGCCAGAGTAATGGAAAAGTGTTTAAAATGTAATGGGAATAGCCAGAGGGCAAACTAATGTAGGAACACATTGATATTAATGGCCTTGGGCATTCTTGTTAACTCAAACCTTACCGCATTTAATTGAGAGATTTTAAAGGTTCTTATGCAGAACCTCAAGAAATTATTACAGATTTATACAATGGGGTGAGTCTAATCCTGGATGCTGATTGGTTAAAACCGAGTTCCAGCCGGTGTCTATTCCACAAGTTACCACCGGCTAAGGCTATGAAATGCCTATTTACTGTTCCATCTCACTGCGCAATCCACTGTCTCATCAGCCCAAGCAGGCAATTTATAAACTTGATCTCCACTGTAAAAAAGCATCTAGACATTATCTCCCCTTTCTTTTAGACTAGTATTTGGTTTTCAACAGCAGAGATTTGTATAAACCTTGCTGTCTGTCTCTCTGATATTTGCAACATTGTTTCAATATTGAAATTTGATTTCCAGCTGTCTGATAGTAATCAACGTGTTGGGACTTGGGAGTCAGGACGAGACAGACAGGCAGGCAGCTTTTCTCAGCCAGCATCATTTTGATGGATATATACACAAATAAATGTCCATAGAAAAACAGGTCAAACGAAACGAAATGCAGCTAGTTTGCTGTCTTTCGAGCTTCAGTTTGAAGTAATTGTGTTAGCTGTGCCGTTGGCTAGCTCCTCCAAACAGTGTCCTGGTGAGAGACCAAATGTTCTATGCCAGGCAAAATCGCTCATCATTAGCTCAATGTCACTAGAAAAGAGCTTAAACAAACACAAATGCAGCTACTTTTCTGTTATTCTGGCTGCACTGTTTGATATGACTGTGTTAGCCCAAGTTGGCTAGCTAGCAATAAGGGGATAAGAACGTTGCCAGCCAGCATGACAACGGAACATTTAGAATGAACGTCCATAGATATAGAATAAAAAGACTTAACGACTGGGTCGTGTCTCTGGCAACCGAACCAGCCGGCTTGGGTAGCAATCCTAGATTTGTGCCGGGACTATATCTTGTGAAAGGACAAAATAGTATGAATAAATTAATCAAAATAACTTTTAATGGAAATATGTCAATCATTATTTGAATTTGTTGGTAACCCATTGTATAAAAGTGATAATTCCCTCAAATACGGTGTTTGGAGGATATATTGGCACGGTTTGCTGGCCCGAGACTAACAACACCGTGCCAATATCCTCCAAACACCGGCTTCTTGGGCATTATCACTTAAGTAGACAAACACATTTAATAGTGAATGACATCACTATCACGTTTTTCATTTCTACACTCAATCATACACCTACATGGTCTGTCTTGGCTGACTGGTATTAATTGTGTAAAAACTGAGCTGAGCCTGGGACAGCTCATCCAGGGAGGCTCAATGGGTGGGATATCAGAGTTATGGAGAATTTTTTTTAAATCCATATCATGCAGGCCTGTACTGTACATCGCTCCATTACAGCAGTAAAGGACACTTACTGAGGCATCTTTGATGGTCTCCTCTCCTGCTGACAGCTTGGCTATCCTGCTGATTATGGGAGTGACGTTGGTGGGGCCGTACAGCTGGATCTTAGGCAGGCAGTTCTGGTAGGCCTCCACCACCCCCTGGATCTCTGATCACACACACACACACACACACACACACACACACACACACACACACACACACACACACACACACGTTCTACTGTGGGTACACACCTTGAAGTAGCACATTGAGGGACCGAGGGAGGGAGGGAGGGAGACAGGTGGGCTGGAGCATAAATAACTAGGGATCAAAGTATTACTGGAAATGTGAATTTGTAGGGCTCTGTGTTCATTAAAGATGGATTCTGAGAGCGGGAAAAGCACTCTCAGGCTCCACATGCTATCCAGTATGCTCGTTTTTCATTGTAAAATGTCAGCGGTAGAGATTGATGGAGGGTCGGGCAGAGCTGCTGAGAGGTTCAGAAGTATAAGGTACCCAGAGGAGGCTTCATCTCTCTTACCTTCACATTCATCGTCCTCTGGGTTGAAATTGATGGCAAAGTCATGGGACACCTGTTTGTTGGGGGGAAAAAAACGAGGTCGGACATTGTTGTGCTGGAATATTAGTGTAGACACAAAATCCCTATGCCTCATTCGATATACAAGGACACATTTATTTCAGTCCACATTTTACGATCTTTTGAAAGTCTGGAGTAGCGCTGGAATAAATGAAAGTATATGACAAGTCCACATAAAGCTTACTTTGAGTATGAGAATTACCCTGTTCCTGATACGAAGTGGTCCAGTTATCTTATTATACAAAGCCACAGACACACAGCCTTTTGACATCTTTTACTATTTTGGGTAAATACAACAGCTTTGGGCTCTTGGTCTATTGTAAGTGACTGCAACAATGCTGAATTTAGTGATTTGGATTTGTAGCATTTTAGCGGCCTGGGGTACAGAAATAGTTCAGACGTGGCATTTTTCTATCCTATCAAAACAACAGTATTTTCTGTCCAATGTGTGTACCTTTGACAAGACAGATGTCATTAAGCCATAATTACAGAACGTACAGTAGTCAAGACTATTTATAAGCCAATGCACAGAACAGAACAGAAGCAGATCCTGATAGCCTTCTTTTATCTTTTCTCTGTCTGTTGACCTGCCAGTACTTCCAGTGTGCCTGTAATGTGACTCTCCATCTCTGGAAGCAGTCTGTGTGTCTGAAAGCGATGTGTGTGTGTGTGTGTCACTTCAAACCCTCTCCCCAGGGTGCTAGTTAAAACAACAGCCGGGTCTCTGTTCTCCAGGCCAAATCTGCTTAAATAAACGCCCCTCTCTCGCTCCTGAAACCTTCTGACAAGTGGCCATCAACACCAAGGAACCTTGCTCCACACTGCCCGCTTGTAATTATTCTAACTTCCTCAGAACATGTTATTTTCTCGTGGACAGGTTGGCATTTCCAGAGAAGGGGCTGATGAATAAAAATAAACTCAATTATGAATCTGAAATGTGAGATTTTGACAGAGTGACAAATGGTGTCAGGAAATAGGGCAATCAGCCTGTTCAATATATAGACTCAGGGCATGGGCAAATACCAAGAGGAGGGAGGATGGAGGGAAAATAAGCAGTGGGGGAAAAGATTATAACAACTAAACAAGATAACACTCACCTCATAATTGGGTGGAATTCTGGCACCAAATCCCAAGGCGGAAAATCTTTTGTCACTAAAATGTAAAGTAGAGTAAATCAATCATACAATAAAACTGTTGTTGCTGTTACAATGGAGAATACACTGTCACTGATCAAATGGAAGATACTTGTCGATACTTGTCGAGAACATTATTGTAATTTATCTCTTCCACTCATGAAAAACTACACTGCAAATCCGTCCTTTTAAGACTTGTTTACAATTCAACCAGTTAGGACACTCATTAAATGACAATTTAAGAATTGCTTCTATGTGCCAGCTGTCATTTTGCATCTATGGGGTGAGATTCTGTTACTCTCCGGCACTAAGTGGTAATTTTGCTGTCGCAATTGTTGTACTCTCCACATCATTATCGGTATCATTTTAATTTGATGAGCTGATGTAGTATAATATGCTCTGCCATATTGAATGCATTACTCTTTGTCAGGAGGGCAGTAGAGCACAGCACTAGAGGAATGAAAGCATGAACAGTGGGGGAGAATGAGAGTGTAAGACACAGTAGGACAGAAGCAATGCCTGCTGGGAAATACCACTAGACATACAGTACATCTGATGACACAGTGAGTTGTGGGGCTCACTGAGCAGTGTGCGAGCTGGGACAAGAAACAAAACACGAGTCCTCATAGTGCAATGGCAAAAAGAGGGGTTTGAAAGAAAACAGGATTAAAATGTGATATGGAATGATTAGTGAGTTACAGCTCTCTCTCTGACAGGAAATATGTGTATCTATCACTCTCCAATCCATGGCACTGTGAACATGTGTGCTGGGCTGTGTTAGCTTCTTTTCCATCACATTAGTACTTGTGCCTAAATACATGATTTTGTCTCTGCTATCAGGGCATTTCTTTCATGCAGAAAAAAAGTGAATTCTCGAGCACCGTGACAATCTGAATGAACATCTCCATAATAACATCTTGGCTTCAGTTATCAACATTTGAAAGGAGCTGTTTTAATGTATTTACTGCAGCAGGAAGGGGAGAGAGTGATGACATGGGCTGGGAACACTAAAGCAGGAAGTAATAAGCATTCAATTGAAGATTTGGCTGTAAGCCCTCATTAGAGACAACTAAAGCTTTCCCTTTACTCTAAACTTTAATTGCCCATCGCTGGCTGATAGATACATTCTCCAGCACATTAAAGGCAAAGTAATGGAAAAACAGATAATAAAACCCTTCTGGTCTCATCCTCCACCCTTGGGAATTAAGAATGATCAACTCTGTGCTAAACATAGTAATCTTCAATTGGGCTTCCTTTGTCTCAGGAGATGGTAAACTCTCTCAGGATGCCGCTCTCTAGCATGGCACCTATAGATGAGCAGAAACATCTCAGCCATGAGAAAGAGAGAAGCTGTGCGCACAACCAAGGCAACTGCTTTCCAAATGTGCAAAGGCTGCTGCCATCCCCGATATTCACAGTTTGCTTATAGCTGCTCATTATTTTCTATATAAAGACTGACAGGGGAGGGTCTAACACGCAAGCTAATCAAAATGGTATTTCTTTTTTCAATTCAAATTGGGCTCTGTGGATGTCCAGTACAACACATCTGGAATGTCATCCCCAAAACCATAGTGCATTGCTCTAGCAGGCCTAGTAACACACGAGGGCACGCACAGACACACACAGACACAGACTCCGTTCTGTCCATTATCACAGATTAGAGGAAGATGCTCAGACAGCCCTCCAGGCACAGAAACTCAAGGCCCCATCTCTCTATCAACCCATGGAAAAGAGAGCTGGTAGAAAAGCTTGGATCAATTAAGGAAAGCAGCAGACGTGATTTCTCTCTCTCTGCCCCCAGGTGAGTTATAGAAATGCTCTCTTTTTGTTCCCTCCATTAAGACTTTGGTCCTTAATCTCCTTAATCCTCAGCTCCTTCATCCTCAGCTGAAGAAAGAGGGGAAAGTGGACCTCCTCTCTACCACCACCCTGCATGGGGAGATTTACAGAGATGCTGTAAATGGCTAATCCTGCTTTTAATGAATCCCACAGGACAGCGCTATACAGGAGAAAGGACAGGAATAACCTGTAGGAGCAACGGAGGTGTACGAGAACAAAATTGGCTGCAACACAACGCACCGAAAACACATTTTCTCTGACAGTGTCAGGTTCGTTGAAGGACGGGACGGACCAGGGCGCAGCGTGATATGCATACATGTTTATTATAACGAATAAACACAACGACCAAACAACAAACTAAACGAAACGTGAAGTCCAAGGTAGACACAAACAACATACCTTACACGGAACAAGATCCCACAACCCACTAGTGCCAATAGGCTGCCTAAGTATGGTCCCCAATCAGAGACAACGAACGACAGCTGCCTCTGATTGGGAACCACACCGGCCAACATAGAACCATACATACTAGATCGTAGCACATACACAACAAAGAATATACACACCCTGACTCAACATATAAGAGTCCCCTGAGTCAGGGCGTGACATTACCCCCCCCCCCCCCCCCCCCCCCCCAAAGGTGCGGACTCCGACCGCACAACATAAACATAACAGGGTAGGGGCCGGGTGGGCATTCCGCCTCGGAGGCGGATCCGGCTCGGGGCGTGACGACCTCTCACTCTCCGCCTCCCTGTTGCGCCCCTGGTCTGGTCTGGACCTCGGCACGCTACTTCCCCTCTCCTTCCTCCCACGATACGCCAGGCCCTGTCTGGACCCTGGTGTGGGAGACCCCGAACCTGAAGAGGGGCTGACGTCATGGTCTGGACTGGAGCCGCTGACCGGAGCTGGACTTGGCACCGGTGGAGCGGACTGCTCTGGCTCCGGAGTGGAGCCGCTGACCGGAGCTGGATCAGGCAACGGTGGAGCGGACTGCTCTGGCTCCGGAGTGGAGCCGCTGACCGGAGCTGGACTGGACCCCGGTGGAGTGGACTGCTCTGGCTCCGGAGTGGCGCAGCTGACCGGAACTAGATCAGGCACCGGTGGACCGGACTGCTCTGGCTCCGGAGTGGCGCAGCTGACCGGAACTAGATCAGGCACCGGTGGAGCGGACTCCTCTGGCTCCGGAGTGGAGCAGCTGACCGGTCCCGGACCAGGCACCGGTGGAACGGGCACGGGCCGTGCCGTACTGGACAAACGCACCACTGGTCTGGTGCGAGGAGCAGGCACGGGCCGGACCTGACTAGGAACACGCACCACTGGCTTGGTGCGAGGGGCAGGAACGGGCTGGGCCGGACTGGCGACGCGCACCACTGGCTTGCTGCGAGGAGCAGGAACAGGTCGGGCCGGGCTGGCGACGCGCACCACTGGCTTGGTGCGAGGAGCAGGAACAGGCCGGGCCGGGCTGGCGACGCGCACCACTGGCTTGGTGCGGGGAGCAGGAACAGGCCGGGCCGGGATGGCGACGCGCATCACTGGCTTGGTGCGGGGAGCAGGAACGGGCCGGACCGGACTGGCGACACGCACCACTTTCTTGGTGCGAGGAGCAGGACTGGGTTCCTTTATTAACCCCTGCTCCTTCTGCTGCCTAACCAGCTCCTCTCGCCGTGCCTCTACACCTTCCTTCTCCCTTCTAGCCTCCTGTAGCGCCTCCCTCTGACCGAATACCTCCTGCTCCCTCTGAACCAATAGCCCCCGTAATCTGGTGGCCTCCTCTCCTAACCAGCAGATCCGCCCTATCGCGGCCTCCTGCTGCCTCGTCGTCCACACCGTGTGCCCCCACCCAACATTTTATTGGGGTTGCCTCTCCACCCTGATCCCTTTCAGGGCCTCCATCTTTCATGCCAGATCCTCTCTTATCTCCTGCCAAGTCCATCCTCTCTGCTCCTCCTCAGCACATTGCTTGGTCCAGGTCTGGTGGGATCTTCTGTCACGTTCGTTCAATGACGGGACGGACCAAGGCGCAGCGTGATATGCATACATGTTTATTATAACGAATAAACACAACGACCAAACAACAAACTAAATGAAACGTGAAGTCCAAGGTAGACACAAACAACATACCTTACACGGAACAAGATCCCACAACCCACTAGTGCCAAATAGCTGCCTAAGTATGGTCCCCAATCAGAGACAACGAACGACAGCTGCCTCTGATTGGGAAACCACACCGGCCAACATAGAACCATACATACTAGATCGTAGCACATACACAACAAAGAATATACACACCCTGACTCAACATATAAGAGTCCCCTGAGTCAGGGCGTGACAGACAGCAATTAATTAGAAATGAGTGAATAAACTGCATGCAGGGTCAGGTTTGTTAATTATTGTCTGTAATGCAAGGGAGATCCATCACCATGGGCGAATGAGAAATGGGCCTTCAACATACGGAGAAGCCAGTTTCAAGTTCTCTAATACAATTCAAACCACTCAACCACTGATGTCTGATATCTCTGCCTTGAATAGCTATCTTTTACATATTGCTGTTGGTGCTTGTTGTTTATTTGTCTCGTATCTTTCTGTTCTATCTAGTCCGTGGTGTTTTGTCAAAACAGAAAGCTCATTACAATACATCAGACTTATAATTCTAACATAACAGCGAGATCGACCTGAAACAACTTCTCAAAGTTGCCTCAGCGATTTATCTTACTTTTCTCCTCTGACGCAAATGCAGTCAATATGTTCCAAAGCTCCTGAAGTATCAAGTGAAGAGGCTGTACAAATGCTTCCACTGGAGCTACTAATACTTAGTTCTGATGCTTGGCGGTTCTCTGTTCTATCAGTGAGTGCTTTTAATACTTTGTGGGAATAGAACCTGGTGTTTGAGAAAATGTAGAGGTGCCACAGGTACCGAGCACATACACAGAGTGAAAGAAACTGGCTTTCAAGTCTGTCTATGGTTTCCTCAGATAAAGTAGACATTCTCTGGGAAGTGGCCTTTCTGTGAAGTTACATACATATTCTCTTTGATTGTGCTCAACGTTTTAGGATTCTCATGCTTTTTCCAATTGAGCCTGGATTAAACATCACAACATTGACACTTTACATTTTTAGTCATTTAGCAGACGCTCTTATCCAGAGCGACTTACAGGAGCAATTAGGGTTAAGTGCCTTGCTCAAGGGCACATTGACAGATTTTCCACCTAGTCGGCTTGGGGATTAGAACCAGCGACCTTTCGGTTACTGGCACAACGCTCTTAACTACTAAGATACCTGCCGCCCCAACCTACATGTTGGTTCAGTGTGTGTGGCGTAGTGGTCTACCTCTGTGTCTAGTTTCCTAAAGTGTTTTCTTAAGCAGTACATGTGTATACTAAGTGATAAGTCCCAAGTAGAGAACTATTTATGTTTCAGACTGCCATGCTCTGGAGGACTGCCAAACCGGTAGACAGCCATATTTCAACGTGACACCAGTAAGAAGAGTGGGAGAGCCAGATGTGATGCTGTTCCCAGGCCTGTTAATGAGGATGGAACCAACGTGTGGGCTCCACGGTGGCACCTCTTTTTCACTTCCACGTGACATGATGTGAGAGCGGATCTTGCAGGCGGGGGTCTTCACTGAGCCCCGTTCCCCTCTCAGTAGGAGAACGCAGCCACTTCCCACTCAGAGCAAAAGGTGCCCGGCTCCTAATCCAGCTGCTACTCTGTAAATGTGATCACACATCACCTGATATTCACCACAAGAGGCCTGCAAGCCCACGTTGTGCACCTTAATAACAGCCTGATGTGGGAAGAAATAACCCACAACACGTAACGTAGGCGCAACACCTAAAGGCATGTACGTGACACCCAACACCAAACTGAGTTAGCTACCTACACATCTCTTTTCCAGGTAGCTAGAGTTTGTGTCTCTCCAACACGTCTTCTGCTGTTCTAGAGTTATCTCTTGTATTCTTTAATTAGGCAGCCAGCGTTCTCCACACATTCAACAGGAGGAGCCAACACTGGCATGATTTCACAGTGTAAATCCTCATTTGGCTCTGTGCCGACAGACAAGATGATCTTTCCTCAAAAATAGACCATATTCAAAATAATTAGTTACTAATTAACCAGTGTCTGACAAGACTGCCTCCGATAATAAATATTGAATTAGTGATTTAGAAATGAGGAATGTAACAATAATATAATACCAGTCAATTACATATCCTTAACAAATACTATATACAGAAAGTAATGTGACACACACACAAATTATAATATACAGCCTGTCGCTCCAACTCTCCCCAGCCATTGAAACCATTATCTCCCCAAACCCTTGAGAGCCCTGTGCATCCTTCTTCTGCCTTCTCTCCACTGCTGCCCATGGCTCTGCTGTTGCCTCTCCTCTGCACTTTCCTCTGTCCCTCCCTACCCCTGCCTCTGCCCATGCTGCTACTGTCCCTCCCTGCCTCTGCCCATGCTGCTGTGACACTGCGCTAGGTTGGGTGTCCTCTCCTCTGGATCGGGTTAATGATCCCCTGCCAGCCATGGAGGGGGATTTGGCCGCTCCGTCAGGCACAGGCAGTCTTTGCCAGGCTCAGAGACAGAATAGGATATCACAGGGTGCAGTGAGCACCACAGGACAGAGGACATGCTGCATCCGCTGCCACGGGTGGAACAAAACCTGCTGTGTCCATTCCAACAACAGCAGCAGAAAGCAGCGGCAGCAGTAAATCTAAGCAGACCAGCCTCATCTCAAACACTGATTCTGCCTCCAAGCAACTTCATCTGAGATTTCCCCAGGGCCTCCTCATGCATTGCTAATGTCTGTGTAAAGCAATTTGTTTGCTCTAATTTCCTCCTGTTGGCAGTGGGCATGATAATTGCAGATGGACCATAATTTAATTAATGCGTGAAAATTACTGTTTCTATTTTTTGGGATGTTTTTTTATTTTTTTGCAGTTTCGTATTATCTGGCAGAAGTCTTAGATTTCATGGAGGAAATGTATGACATCAAGTGGCTGACTTAGGGTTAGATTCTATCAGATCCATGCTAGCCGACATCCGCATAGCGGTTGTTTTGGCGGTGTCAGAGGTGGAACTGCATTAGAGCTGCTCCTTACCTTATCTCGGACACTGCCATTGGATGCAGCAAAACCACACCCGACTTTATATCTGACAAATCCCATGCAGCCGCATTACAAGTTCAGACACTCGAATGCGTGATGTTATATTGTCTACACCCCCATTAGACTGATAGCCTATCCCAATCCAAATTAACATGAAAACATGCACCCTTTCTATCGCCGTTTTGAACTTCTAACGCGGTAAGGGATAATAGGAAGGGAGTGATTTTTAACACACAAGAACAGCCACTCACTTATTTTCAAGCTGAAACCGCAGTTACACCTTCAACACTGCCAAAACAAGGTGAGTTATCACTCGATCTGATTGAATCAAGGCCTTATCATTGTAATAATTGTTCAACTCTATCATTCATTTTCCAACTCATGCTTCAGTGAGTAGTAGAAAGAATCCTCAGAATTCTATTCCACGATTTCCATTACATCCTCATGGCTTGGAATTAGATGAAGTAGAGCCACTGGCTCGGTACATTATGAGACATCTACCAAATGTAAAAAGTTCAATTTCCCATTGGTAGACATACAGAGAGCAGCCCCACAGGATAGAGATCCGGCTAAGGCTGGGCAGAGAGCCGTGGTGCTGACTAACCTGTCATAATCCTGACAGATCTCCCCCACTGCTATCAAAGCCTTCAGATACTCGTTGGGCTGGTACGGGTTGATGTAGTGTAGGGAGCAGCTGTTCCGAGGGTCTCCGTTGGAGGCCGTGAAGTCAATGGCCACCTAGAGCAATGACAGATTCATAGAAGACACTAAACATTGCAAGTAAAACCAAACACCATAAACACTAGACCTAGGGTCTACCTGTCAATGCAGGTTGTGTTGAAGCAGGCTATTCTGTACAGTTCTCTGTCAAACTTGTGTTTCTATAGAGGAAGATTATGACATGTCAACTGACTTCCATTGTGTAAGTGTCTGGAGCCTGCGTCATTGAGTGACTTGACTTTGCAACCCGGGAGCAGCCTCATAAAGTCTTAAATACTGTAACATCATCGCTTTCATGTCCTCAAGCATAATTGTATAACTGCTTACGCAAATGAATCTGTATAATATATGGTGAAAACCTAAGATATCTAAGATATGTAAATGAACATTGCTGAAGCCGTCTGTTAAATTTCAATTTTAATGTCCAGTCATTGAACAGATGTTCTCAGAGCATTTTATACGACCAACATATGTGCAGGATACATTGAGGGCATGTAAGAAGGAGTGGCAAGGACATAGATATTTCACTTCTTTGACGTCAGCAGTGCTAAAGATACGAGCACAGGGAGAACTGCAGAACTTCTCAACAAGGGAAATGATCAAACAAATATTCTGCAGGTATTTTTTTTTAAATCATTAGTGCATTATCAAAGGACTTCTATAGTGTTCTATATCTGTGGTAAGTGATACCAAAGGATGTCTATGCAACAATGAAGCAGTGCTCCTAACATAGCAGTTCCCCTAAATTAATATGAATTATTGCCTCAGTTTATCCTTCTAAGGAGCTAGCCTCCAGTGAGAAAAGTATCCGGGTACACCGGAAAATGCCAGTCACCAGGGTAATGTTTCATTAGTTAAAAAATGCAGAATGTAATGTTTCACACTTAGAGAATGTAGCATTTAATCAAAACACTGGCCTTGATCACAGCACGTAGCCTGGAAATGGAACACAGGTTAAAATTCTAGGCCTATTGTCTATTCCAACACCTTAACGAAGGCAAGCAACCATTAATATGTACTGAATGTGTAGGCAGTCAGTGGATCGTACACCTTTGAAGGTTAGCATAGAATTGTACCACGCTGCTAAGTGATGATGACATGCTAGTGCACACATTGGCTGCTCAACTTACTGTAAAGTGGATTTGGCATCCTCCCATGATGTAGTCCAGGAAGGAATACACTCTGTGAAGCTGCAGAACAGAGAGGAAGCTTTTAAACTAAACCCCAGAGGGTGGGGGTTCGGATTTGGTGGAGTACTCAATGTTTTTAGATGGATTCCAGTTTTAACCAATGGCTGTTCCATTTACAAAAGAACATGTATTTTAAAACTGTTATTAAACCACTACTCAGTAGCAACTACTGTTAAACAAACATTATGTAGTAAGCATGAAAATGGAGAATGGTGATGATTTAATTTAGTCTGAAGGCAGCAGCTCTGTGATGTGCAGTGTGTGATCTGCATGCCCGTTAGAGATCACACACCCAGTGGTGGCGACAGGGGATTCAAACTGAGACAGCGGCAATCAAATGAGCTGGGCCCCAGTAAACTAATGAATCCAAATAAAATAATCTAAATGATAAACTGCCTAAACAGTAGGCCCAAGAGACACAAAAACAGCTATACCAATAAAAAACGTTTCCTTTTTAAAAGACCTGTGAACTAAAAACATAGGGGGAAAGAATGGTGACAGCCATCCACAGATGTAGTCATTTACAGAATTGGGTAGCGGGGGTGGACAGTAAACTGAGTATGAACACATTTCTAAAATGAGCAGTACAAATTAATTACGAATTAGCACTATGTGTACATGTTGTGAGAGAGTACAACAGAATATCACAGAGATGGGGATGATTCTCTATGTATTAGATAGTGGAGAGTTGCTGAGCAGGAGCTGAAACGGTTGGCTCTAACCTTGAGATCACTGAGGATGACCACCCCAGAGTTTTTGTAGTTCTTCTTCTTCAGTTTGTACTTTGGATTCATGCAATCCCATGTGACCTTCAATACAAGAGGTAGACAGATCATACAGAAACATAGTTATGAGTTATGAAATAAACTGAAATATCACATTTACATAAGTATTCAGACCCTTTACTCAGTACTTTGTTGAAGCACGTTTGGCCTTGAGTCTTCTTGGGTATGACGCTACAGGCTTGGCACACCTGTATTTGGGGAGTTTCTCCCATTCTTCTCTGCAGATCCTCTCAAGCTCTGTCAGGTCTCTCCAGAGATGTTCGATCGGGTTCAAGTCCGGGCTCTGGCTGGGCCACTCAAGGACATTCAGAGACTTGTCCCGAAGTCACTCCTGCGTTTTCTTGGCTGTGTGCTTAGGGTCGTTGTCCTGTTGGAAGGTGAACCTTCGCCCCAGTCTGAGGTCCTGAGCGCTCTGGAGCAGGTTTTCATCAAGGATCTCTCTGTACTTTGCTCCGTTCATCTTTCCCTCGATCCTGACTAGTCTCCCAGTCCCTGCCACTGAAAAACATTGCCACAGCATGATGCTACCACCACGATGCTTCACTGTAGGGATGGTGCCAGGTTTCCTCCAGACGTGACGCTTGGCATTCAGGCCAAGGAGTTCAATCTTGGTTTCATCAGACCAGATAATCTTGTTTCTCATGGTCTGAGAATCCTTTAGGTGCCTTATGGCCAACTCCAAGCGGGCTGTCATGTGCCTTTTACTGAGGAGTGGCTTCCATCTGGCCAATCTACCATAAAGGCCTGATTGGTGGAGTGCTGCAGAGATGGTTGTCCTTTTGGAAGGTTCTCCCATCTCCACAGAGAAACTATGGAGCTCTGTCAGACTGACCAAGGCCCTTCTCCCCCGATTGCTCAGTTTGGCCGGGCGGCCAGCTCTAGGAAGAGTCTTGGTGGTTCCAAACTTCTTCCATTTAAGAATGACGGAGGCCACTGTGTTCTTGGGGACCTTCAATGCTGCAGACATTTTTTGATACCGTTCCCCAGATCTGTGCCTAAACACAATCCTATCTCGGAGCTCTACGGACAATTCCTTCGACCTCATGGCTTGGTTTTTGCTCTGACATGCACTGTCAACTGTGGGACCTTATATAGACAGGTGTGTGCTTTTCCAAATCATGTCCAATCAATTGAATTTACCACAGGTGGACTCCAAACTAGTTGTAGAAACATCTCAAGGATGATCAATGGAAACAGGATGCACCTTTGCCAACATTTCAAAAAACCTGTTTTCGCTTTGTACATATTTAATCCATTTTAGAATAAGGCTGTAACGTAACAATGTGCAAAAAGTCAAGGGGCCTAAATACTTTCCGAATGCACTAAGTGGCACATCAGTGACACACATCAAACATTCAACAGTGACTGACAGCACTCTCTCTCCTTTCGACTGACCTTGCTTCCACCGCCAATTTTCTGCATTTCTCGGAAGGTGGCATAAAACTCTCCGATGAAGTCGTGTTTTCCTCTGGAGTCGTAATCCCAAACTAGACACTGTGACACAACCAGACAGTGACATACAGAACCCTCTAATATTTACTGTTCATTCACCAGTAAGTTAGTTCATTCACCAGTTCGTTCATTCATTCATCAATACCACAGCAGCAATGTAAAACCATCACACTATGACTTCCTGTGTTTCTTACCTTGAGCTTCCTGTCCTCATCACAGCTACACAGAGAGATGAGAGACACTTTAAAGGGCTCCCACACGGGGTTCAGGTTGTTTTTGATCACCTGCAACAGCAAGAGTACATTAGACATGAGTAACTTTCACCACACATGGAGAAGGAGAGGTAGATACAGAGAGGAGGAATGAATGGGTCTATTACCTCAGTTCTGTGAACGAGCTGTTCCGTCCCATCATCGTTGATTCGATATATTTCCAAAAAGGGGTCTGACTTACTGAAGAGATCCTGCCAAATATACAAACCAGTCAAACATAAAACACTAATCCTGGTTGAGAAATTCATTTATCTCAAACAATCAAACAACAAACAGGTCCCTGAAATCACACGTACACAGATGCCATCATGTCAGCTTGGTCCTCCTGGTGCTACATTTGACACAGCTTGTCCCCTGCCTGTGCATGTGGTGCATTGTTCACTGCCGTGACAAATCAAATCAGGAAAAAGGTGTGAAAGAGTCATTTGACATTGAGTCGCAAGTTAAGGCTGAGAGCATCTACAGCTTATTTGGGTCAATTGATTCTTCAGTATTTCTGTACATTGTGTAGTGTCTGTGTGTGAGAGAGTGTTAGAGAAAGGAAGGAAGGGAGAGAGAGTGTGTGAGAGAGAGTGAGAGGGGGGCACATTAGCCTGATACATCTCCACAGGGACAGCCAGGGAGGAAAGCAAGGGAGGTAGCTCCCCCATCTTGTTGTCAAGGCAACCTTTGCCAGCGGCGTCCCTGTGGACTGACGTGCATTGCAAGTGCATTTGTCTGTCAACATTTAATCCCTGTCCAGCAATAACAGCTCTCACCACATATATAATCAGCACCATTAATTAAGTTACCTATACCTTTGACCAGCACGGTCTACTGAGTTTAATAATGTTCTAAGTTCCATAATGTCCTCCAACAGTTTGTTCAGTACCTTGGATAGCGTTTCAGGCAGCATTTCAGTATTATATAATTGCCTGATCCATGTTGGGCATACTGTGGTTGTCACAGCAACTCTTTGCAACTTCAATAAATATATAATTTCTACGAATCTCACTTCTTAAGTACTTTGAAAACAAAAGGTTAAACATTCAAGACATTTAAATGCAAACCTTTGAAAAGGTATTTTGTCTGAGCCATCAACCATTGTGCTGGTAAATCAACTACAATATTAAGTGCCTTAGCACAGCTGATCGCCATTGTGAAGCAGGCAGTATTTATAGCCTGTGTGGTATAGATCATGTGCATAGTCTATTAGAGTCATATCTCTCAGTGTAATGGGATCCTCAAAGTCATTGGAACGGACAGATTCCATACAAAGATAGTAGCCTGGCAATTAATCTGCCTGAGCATGTGGCCATCCCCCCACATCTCTCTCTTTCTCTACCTCCCGCTCTCTCTCCCTCCCTCTCTGTTTCTCCCCCCCCCTCTCTCTCCCACTTTCCATCTCCCCCTCTCTGACTCCCCCCCCCCCCCCCCCTAAAAGGGTGCTTCAGCTTTCCCAATAGGATAACCCTTTGAATAACCCTTTTTGATTCCAGGTAGAATCCTTTTGGTTCCAAGTAGAACCGTTTTGGGTTCCATGTAGAACCCTTTACACAGAGGGTTATACATGAAACCCCAAATGGTTCTACCAGGAACCAGAAAGTGCTTTTACCTGGATCACAAAAAGGGTTCTCCTATGGGGACAGCCGAATAACCTTTTTGGAACCCTTTTTCTAAGAGTGTAGAGTTAAAGTAGTTTGCTGACAGGCTCGGGCATCTCAAATGTAATCATGTCAATAAGACAAGGAAAGAGAATGTTTTAAACCACACCATACCACCATTGATGAGTTTCCCTGCCTCCAATGTACACTGAAGATTCGATTAGCAATATTATTTGTGTCTAAATCACAAACAGTGCAATTAGAAATATGTTTTTATTTCCACATGGAATTGCTCATCATTACCCTTTTTCTATTGGGTTAGGTCCAATCAGCCAATCAAAAGGACTGTAAATTGCTAATTCTAATAAATGCATTACAAACGAGCCTGGGCTCTGCTCTGATGAATACACACTAAGCAGAACTTTACCTCCACTCCCTGTTAACTTTCTCCAACACTGCGTAGAGTCCGAGGCCAATTGCACCCTTTGCTTGGTAGCATTCTGAGAGCATAGAGAGGCAGGAAGAAGATTTCTGCTATAATCATTGATGTCAGAGAGTTATTCCAGTCTTGTTGACTGAGATATGAACCTTCTGCCTTGAGCCTTGTGTGGGTGTGCCAGCTCTGCTGTAGGTGCCTCAGTGCTCCAGCTCCCAAAATCTGGTGCCAAATATCTTTCGTAACACTCCTAAATGCTCTACCGACAACAAACTCCCTCTTTCTGAGCTCACCATGCATTGTCCATAGCTTTTCTCCGTCAATACATTTATTGAAAAACTACCGCTGTCTGTGCCGTCTTTGCACAGAGAGCCCCATGTTGGATTGATTTCCTCATCTTGTGTGAGGGCGCAGGAATTTAGAGTTGAAAAGGACAGGTCGATCATGTCCTTTGGATATTGCAAGGCAGCCTTTCAGAGCCAGGCTACTTGAAATGCGTAAATTCATAAATGGCAGACAAAAATGGAATGGTAGAAAACAAAACACATACATACATACATACATACATACATATACATATACATATACATATACATATACATATACATATACATATACATATATATATATATATATATATATATATATATATATATATATATATATATATGTATATGTGTGTGTGTGTGTGTGTGTGTGTGTGTGTGTGTGTGTGTGTGTGTATGTGTTTTGTTTTCATATATTGCAGATAATCACTCAGAGTATGTTTTAGCCTGAGGCAGACAAAGTGAGAGGGAGGAAGACCCTGAGAGATATGCAGAGAAAAGGAGGGAGAGAAGGAAAAAGACAGAGATATTAGCTGAGAGACAAGGAGATAGATTTGCGAGAGAGAGAGAGAGAGAGAGTGGGAGGATAAGCGCAGAGGCGCTTGGGTACGGCTTGTTGCTGTTGTAGGAAGAACAGACACCTGCAGAGCTTCAGGGCCAGTGGTGCATTGTGGGATGCTTTGTGTGGAGGGGCTGTTTGCAAACAGAGAACCACGCAGTAACACCCCTTACACACACGCACGCACGAAAGCACACACACACAAACACACAAACAAACACACTGAACTAAGCAAACCTCACACTGATCTCACCCTCATATTCCTCTTGCTCTCTGTCAAGAGTCCATGACACACCATTCTCACAATGCTTGTCTCAACGGGGAAGCAGCATTTACAGAAAGCCAAGTTCAATTCAGACTTAATAGAACAAATGCTTAAATGTATGTTGTATGCCTTTATGTCATATGCCTCCAGTAACTACAGTGTGAAGCATATGGATCTAAATAAATGTTGCATTTATAAGTGTAGAAAATCTATATCATCATTGTTTAAATCTTTCTTGTCTGATTAATTACTGATTATGTCAAAAAGAGATAGATACAATCTTGAAATCATATTCACAGGAGAGAGGTTCAACAGCCAGCAAACACAAATTCACCCATGATCTATATTGGCATTTCCATCAAGAGAAGGCCCATAATCCCTTACCTTATCATCCAGTTTCTTGGCACAGAAGAACAGTTCAACATATCCATTGTTGCCAGAAATTTCTTCAGCATGTACCTGAAAGAAAAAAAAAATGTGTAAGTAAAATTTTTGCCCAATGACTATATGTTATTTTCCGGAGGCAGACAGCCTGTCATATGACATGTGGAGGGAGAGAAGGAAAAATACAGAGATATTACGACCCACGTGGAGTTCCAGGTCTCTGGCAGCCTCTGGAACTGCCGTTCTGCGGCCAACAAGGCAAAGTTCATCTCGGCCTATGCTCACCTCTTGGCGCTGACGGAAACATGGATTACCACTGAAAGCACTGCTACTCCTACTGCTCTCTCCTCGTCTGACTATGTGTTCTCGCATACCCCGAGAGCATCTGGTCAGCGCGGCGGTGGCACAGGAATCCTCATCTCTCCCAAGTGGACATTCTCTCTTTTTCCCCTGACCCATCTGTCTATCTCCTCATTTGAATTCCATGCTGTCACAGTCACTAGCCCATTCAAGCTTAACATCCTTATCATTTATCGCCCTCCAGGTTCCCTTGGAGAGTTCATCAATGAGCTTGACACCTTGATAAGTTCCTTTCCTGAGGATGGCTCACCCCTCACAGTTCTGGGTGACTTTAACCTCCCTACGTCTACCTTCACGCATTTCTCTCTGCCTCCTTCTTTCCACTCCTCTCCTCTTTTGACCTCACCCTCTCACCGTCCCCCCCTACTCACAAGGCAGGCAATACGCTTGACCTCATCTTTACTAGATGCTGTTCTTCTACTAATCTCACTGCAACTCCCCTCCACTACTTTGTATCCTTTTCTCTCTCGCTCTCGTTTCACTCCCTCCTCTATACATTTTCTTCCTCTGCTTCTGCTGCTAAAGCCACTTTCTACCACTCTAAATTCCAAGAATCTGCCTCTAACCCTAGGAAGCTCTTTGCCACCTTCTCCTCCCTGCTGAATCCCCCCCATCTTTCTCCCCTCTCTCTCCAGAAGAAATCTTGCGACTTGTGATGGCCGGCCGCCCAACAACCTGCCCGCTTGACCCTATCCCCTCCTCTCTTCTCCAGACCATTTCCAGAGACCCCTTCCGTCTTCAAGAGAGCGAGAGTTGCACCCCTTCTCAAAAAACCTACACTCGATCCCTCCGATGTCAACAACTACAGACCAGTATCCCTTCTTTCTTTTCTCTCCAAAACTCTTGAGCGTGCCGTCTTTAGCCAACTCTCTTGCTATCTCTCTCAGAATGACCTTCTTGATCCAAACCAGTCAGGTTTAAAGACTGGTCATTCAACTGAGACTGCTCTTCTCTGTGTCACGGAGGCTCTCCGCACTGCTAAAGCTAACTCTCTCTCCTCTGCTCTTGTCCTTCTAGACCTGTCTGCTGCCTTTGATACTGTGAACCATCAGATCCTCCTCTCCACCCTCTCCGAGTTGGGCATCTCCAGCGCGGCTCACTCTTGGATTGCGTCCTACCTGACAGGTCGCTCCTACCAAGTGGCGTGGCGAGAATCTGTCTCTGCACCACGTGCTCTCACCACTGGTGTCCCCCAGGGAACAGTTCTAGGCCTTCTCCTATTCTCGCTATACACCAAGTCACTTGGCACTGTCATATCCCCACATGGCCTCTCCTATCATTGCTACGCAGACGACACACAACTAATCTTCTCCTTTCCCCCTTCTGATAACCAGGTGGTGAATCGCATCTCTGCATGTCTGGCAGACATATCAGTGTGGATGACGGATCACCACCTCAAGCTGAACATCGGCAAGACGGAGCTGCTCTTCCTCCCGGGGAAGGACTGCCCGTTCCATGATCTCGCCATCACGGTTGACAACTCTGTTGTGTCCTCCTCCCAGAGTGCAAAAAGCCTTGGCGTGACCCTGGACAACACCCTGTCGTTCTCCGCTAACATCAAGGCGGTGACCCAATCCTGTAGGTTCATGCTCTACAACATTCAGAGAGTACGACCCTGCCTTACACAGGAAGCGGCACAGGTCCTAATCCAGGCACTTGTCATCTCCCGTCTGGATTACTGCAACTCGCTGTTGGCTGGGCTCCCTGCCTGTGCCATTAAACCCCTACAACTCATCCAGAATGCCGCAGCCCGTCTGGTGTTCAACCTTCCCAAGTTCTCTCACGTCACCCCGCTCCTCCGCACACTCCACTGGCTTCCAGTTGAAGCTCGCATCTGCTACAAGACCATGGTGCTTGTCTACGGAGCAGTGAGGGGAACGGCACCTCCGTACCTTCAGGCTCTGATCAGTCCCTACACCCAAACGAGGGCATTGCGTTCATCCACCTCTGGCCTGCTGGCCCCCCTACCTCTGCAGAAGCACAGTTCCCGCTCAGGCCAGTCAAAACTGTTCACTGCTCTGGCACCCCAATGGTGGAACAAGCTCCCTCACGACGCCAGGACGACAGAGTCACTCACCACCTTCCGGAGACACTTGAAACCCCACCTCTTTAAGGAATACCTGGGATAGGATAAAGTAATCCTTCTACCCCCCCTTACCCCACCCCCAAAAATTTAATAAAAAATAACATATTGTAAAGTGGTTATCCCACTGGCTATAAGGTGAATGCACCAATTTGTAAGTCGCTCTGGATAAGAGCGTCTGCTAAATGACGTGAATGTAAATGTAATGTGGACAGGACCTTGAAGCCAATCTAAATATGTCACATAAAATGTTGAGGAGTGTTATTACTTTTAAACATCAACAGAAAGCTCCCTCAAGCCCAGAAACGAATGTGGTTCCATTACTGTAATACAGAGCTGGCCAAACGACTGCATGGGATCTGGGTCCAAAGTTAGTCCACAAGACCATTTGGTTGGCCCCCAAAAGGAATGTACTAATCGCAAAAAAGTGTATTATTCTGCATATTTAAATGAATATTACAGACAAGCTAAGTTTTGCTAAAAAAAACACAAATGTTCTTTGTGTCTGAGGTACAAGAGAGAATGTCTACTGTTTGCAGATGATCTGGTGCTTCTGTCCCCAACCAAGCAGGGCCTACAGCAGCGCCTAGATCTTCTGCACAGATTCTGTGAGACCTGTGCCCTGACAGTGAATCTCAGTAAAGAGAAAAATAAGGTCCCTTAACCAGGACAACAAATACAAATTCTATCTAGACACCTTTGCCCTAGAGTACACAAATAACTATTCCTACCTCGGCCTAAACATCAACAAGACAGACTAGGTACCTTCCACAAGGTGGTGAACGATCTAACAGATAAGGCAAGAAGGGCCTTCTACGCCATCAAAAGGAACATACAACTCGACATCCCAATTAGGATCTGGCTAAAAAGACTTCAATCAGTTATAGAAGCAATTGCTCTCTATGGTTGTGAGGTCTGGGGTCCACTCACCAACCAAGAATTCACAAAACAGGACAAACACCCAATTGAGACTCTACATACAGAATTCTGCTAAACATATACTTTGTGTACAACGCAAAACCCCAAACAATGCATGCAGAGCTGTTAAATTCTACAACCGCCTAAAAGGAAGCAATGCCCACACATTCCACCACAAAGCCCTCACCTACAGAGAGATGAACCTAGAGAAGAGTCCCCTCAGCCAGCTGGTTATGTTGCTCTATTCACAAACACAAACAGACCCCACAGAGCCCTAAGACAGCAACACAATTAAACCCAACCAAATTATGAGAAAACAAAAAGATAACTATTTGACACATGTGTCATTATACACTGGAAAGAATCAACCGAAAAACAGAGCAAATTGGAATGCTATCTGGCCCTTAACAGAGAGTACACATTGGCAGAATACCTGTCCACTGTGACTGACCCAAAATGAAGAAAATCCTTGACTATGCACAGACTCAGTGATCATAGCCTTGCTATTGGGAGAGGCCGCCATAGGCAGACCTGGCTCTCGAGAGAAGACAGGCTATGTTCTCACTACCCACAAAATGAAGTGGAAACTGAGCTGCACCTCCTGACCTTCTGCCAAACGTATGACCACATTAGAGATACATATTTACCACAGATCACACAGACCCACAAAGATTTTGAAAACACATCAAACATTGATAAACTTCCATATCTGTTAGGCAAAATACTACAGTGTGCAATCACAGCAGCAAGATTTGTGGCCCGTTACCATGAAAACAGGGCAACCAGTGGAGCTCAAACAACACTGTAAATACCACCAATATCTGTTTATTTATCTTCCACTACTACTCGTACTACAACTATTGGCACATTGCTAAAACACTGTACATAGCTGGTAATATAACACTTGAAATGTTTTTATATTTTTGAAACCATTTTGAGTTCAATATTTTCTGTTAAATTCTAATAGTTTTTGGTTGATGTTGTTTTGTGTCTTCTCACTTTTGTTTATTGTTTATTTCACTTGCTTTGGCAATGTAAACTTGTTTCCCTGACAATGAAGAGAGGAACTTAGGGAGAAGGGAGAGGGGAGAGGGGAACTTAGGGAGAGAGGAACTTAGGGAGAGGGGAGAGAGGAATTTAGGGAGAAGGGAGAGGGGAGAGGGGAACTTAGGGAGAGAGGAACTTAGGGAGAGGGGAGAGAGGAACTTAGGGAGAAGGGATAGGGGAGAGGGGAGAGAGGAACTTAGGGAGAGAGGACATGGGAGAAGGGCGAGGGAGAGGGGAGAGGAGAGAGGGGACACTTAGGGATGAGAGGAACTAGGGAGAGGGAGGAGGGGAGATGCGGGACACTTAGGAGAGAGGAATTAGGGAGAGGGGAGAGAGGGAATTTAGGGAGAAGGGAGAGGGGAGAGGGGAACTTAGGGAGAGAGGAACTTAGGGAGAGGGGAGAGAGGAACTTAGGGAGAAGGGATAGGGGAGAGGGGAGAGAGGAACTTAGGGAGAGAGGACGTTAGGGAGAAGGGAGAGGGAGAGGGGAGAGGAGAGATGGGAACTTAGGGAGAGAGGAACTTAGGGAGAAGGGAGAGGGGAGATGGGAGAGGGGAGAGGGAGAGGGAAACTTAGGGAGAGGGGAGAGGGATAGGGGAACTTAGGGAGAAGGGAGAGGGGAGAGAGGAACTTGGGGAGAAGGGAGAGGGGAGAGGGGAACTTGGTGTGGTCAGGGCCCAAAGAGTTCCAGATACACTACAATGAGCCCATTACAATGAGTTCTGCTCACCTTCAGAATCCCTCCTGTCGAACAGTTAGAAGGTTACAAGTCATCTCAGCACATTAGGACAAATTGTGTTGGCCCTTTATAGCCCCTCACCTCCTAAATAAGTGTCATTATACGCCGGTAAGCCAGTGAATCAAGTGCAGTCTATAAAAGAGGACTTTATCTGTGTTAAAATGCACGACTGCTACAATAATGATATACAGCCTAAATAAATTAAAGCTGAACAACATCTGTTGACTCAAAACAACAAGAAATGTTCTACAGTAAAGTATATGGTTTCTGTAATTCAAACAAAAGTGTGGCAATGGTCCAGAAACAAACTCTATGGGTCTCTAAGCTTATCAATAATACAACATAGTAAAGCTATAACACTTGGTGCCTGTGTCGTATCAGCAGCTTGTCAAGCTTTCTGTATGTACAGTATGAATCTTGGATGAAAATTATTTATTGTATCTCATATCATGGTGCCATTGTCCTGGTGAGTGTTGTGTAGGCATAATGTGTATTGTGTATTGGATTGTGGCCCGGCTATGAACGTTTCAGTTCGAAGACTATTGGCTATTGATGCTTGCCAGTGGGAGCCACAGTAACTGCATACAATGGTACCTTAATCCCTACCATTTTATCAACTTTTCTCCACATCCCATGTCCCCATGTGCATGATGGACATCTGAGAGATGTGTTACAAACACTGGGGAGCAATTTATCACACAAAACACAACAGTTGTCTGTTGTTCTGCCACCTTCCAGATTAGCCTGCAGGCACATTACAGGCAGACACCATGCCATTGGGATCCATCTCACAGACAGACCTGACAAAGCCCAGGGCCATTATCATATCAGTAAAAGCCATTTTCAGAAACGCCATGACACAGGTTATCACTAATTCACTAGAACGCATTAAGCCCACACTGCTACAGGACTGTGCTTAAACAAACCCATTATATCCCCCATAACCGCCTCACAGCAAGCTGCCATCACGTGATCACATCCAATCAATGGTCATAATGGCAACACTAGCCAAAGGGAAAGATCCTCAAATACCATCTTTACTTTGACCATTTCCATCACAAGCAAGTCATTCTCAGCCCTTCTCTCGAAGGACAATTTATGCGTATCAATAAGGCGAAATGTCTGTTGTTCCCATTATCTGATTCACTGCTTGGGCAAAACCCCTTCTCTTTTCTCCTCTCATCTCTACAGTAGAAGAAGGCACTGAGAGATCAGAGAGACTCTGCACCTCTGACTTAACAGAGCAGTGAGGAACACTGACTCTTCCTCCCACTCCACTGAAGGTCAGATTTGCAGGCTTGTTAAACACAGTTTCTCTGTGTTGTACCCTTTTGTATGGCAATGTAATGTTGGCCTGGCAGATGGTGTTGAGACCATCCAACAGAAATAACACACTGTGTTTTAACGTCCCCCTCTCTTTGTCATCACAGATATTGTATATGAGTCATGATTCTTTGTACAGAGAAGCATCCTTACATCACAGGATTCACATCAGCTACTTTGCTTTAATTGCTTGAATTGATTTAACAAGTCATTACATTTGATTTTGCTTGCCACTGTTACTGCAACAGTGAGCCAATGGTGAGCTGGGAGTGAGATCAATAGGATGATGAATAGGTGAACCCTACCGTGATGGTGGATTTCCCAGCGTACTTTGCGTACTTTAGGAATAAAGGCTTCATCATCTTCTTCTGGGCTACAATCTGTGGACACAGGAAAACTATGAATGACTGGTGACTAGTGAAGCAGTGTATTACAGGACAATTAGTATGAAAGCAGTTTGAGAGCAGTATGAGGAGGATTGGTGACCTCTAACCTTTACCCTCTGACCTCTACTAAGTAAGTGTTGTTGGTAAGCAGCAGCTCGGCACACTGATCATACAGTGGCTCTCTGTTCCATTCAGTTTATGTGTGGTGAGTGATTTGATTAGACATAAGAAATGATACATTGGATAACTGAGTGGAAGGGTCAGACATTCAGTACAGGACCTGGCCGAGCGTACACTCCACCCCACCCAGGAAGTCGTCATCGCGGGTGCCAATACTGTGGGTGCCATGGATGTCGTAGACCTCGAACCGCAGCTTCTGCACTTCCTCAAAGTAGTAGTCCAGGGTGAAGACCTTGGCAAAGACCGGGTGCAGGTTGCTCTTGATCACCTCTGTCCTGTCAAGCTGAAGCGACAAGAGGGGAGAAAAAGGCACTGTATTAGAATGTAGATGTGGACACGTTGTTGGATGTTACTGGAGAAACTCGGACCTCCAACTCAAGGTCTCTCTAATGAGAGCTTCCTACCAATTAAACATCAAAAGTGCAGTTTTATATGCAATGTACATCGTATCAGTTCATTTGCAATGCTAATTAATGGATGGGACATGGTGATGCATTCATGGGCACATGGGAATGCAGGAAGTACAGCCAAAGACCGGTCTGCACCTGGATCACTGCTACAGCCACTGTTGGCGTTCTTGTTTGTTTACCTGTTGATTAGACCAAAATCTACAGAGAGTGACAGCAGATATGATTTTAGTGGACTGAGGGCTGAGAGCTCAGCACACACACAGCTCATCCATTGGCATGCTTGGACGTTCATACACCTGTTTATCTAATACACCTGGTTCATGCCTGAACTCTCCACATCTCCACCTGCTTTCAGTGGAGCACAGAGGCTGTGTTTACACAGGCAGCCCAATTCTGATCTTTGACCAATCAAATCAGCTCTTTTGCCAATATTTGGGCAAAATATCAGAATTTGGCTGCCTATGTAAACCCAGCCAGAGTCTACCCATCTAGCACCCAGACAAATGATGTCCCATTCAGTAGCATCCAGCATCCAATTATGCCAGTACCAGATAAATTATTCCTTATAATTTAACTCCAAACTAGGAATATTGAGGGGAGCCTACTCATCATCAAAAGCATGTGTTCCCTAAAGATGCTATCAGTAAATTAAAGGGACCTAAAAAGCTGTGTTTGAACCATGGTTTAAGTGTTTCATGGTTTAAGTGAATCAATGGATTTCCAAATGGAGCTACTGAAAAGGCATATAAAAAAATAATTCAAGCCTAAGGCAACTGTCAATCTAAATCCGCTAAGGAAACGTAAAAAGCCATAAATCTTTCACTCTCGTTTTCCTCCATTTCTTTGAATTTGAGGAAAAAGTTGTGACGGTAAAACAGAAGATAAAGTCAGAAAGTCATCAAACACAGGTAGTTAAATATAAAAGGCAATTTTACATAATCTCCGTAGTTTGACCTGAAAAAAGAAATACTCTAGAGATTGCCATCAATCTCAATCCAGGCCTAGCCATCAATCTCACTAACAACTTTACCAAAGCCAAATCCCACCCGTCCATAGAGCACAAATCAAGAATGAAGTTCCCTGATCAGCAGCTCTGTCAAGGCTCTCTAAAGTCAACATGGGCCCCACACATCAAACACCACGAACATACATGGCACACTACAGTACACACATGCACTTCCACATTAACATTCAGATATTCATGAGTTAATCCTACTGCTTTGCCTCATGCTGTTGGTCTTGAGCTGATGAGAACACACACACACACACACACACACACACACACACACACACACACAATGGTTGAGGAGAAGCAACAGAGCAAGTATGCACCTTTTCTCACTGTCAATTACTGTAGAATAAAGTGTCTAGTCTGCCAGTCCTAATCAAAGACACCTCAAGAGTGTCAAAGACAATGTTATTAAGTGTACTAATACAGGTGACCTGAGGATTGGGGGTGTGTTGTCTTGTTATTCATTATTGACCTTGCAAACAGTACAAAGAGTGGTTCATTTCTCAGGAGATTACAAAGAGTGGTTAATTTCTCAGGAGATAACAGCTAAGATGTTTTAATTAGACCTTTCTCTTGCTGTTTCTCTCATTCTCTCTCTCATTTTCTATTGCTGTCTTTCTCTCTCTCGATCTCTTTCTGTGCTATCTGGTTGGACAGATTTGTGAACACGGACAAGTTTGTTTCCGTGTGTAATGAAAGCTACCCAGAGCCACAGAGGAAGGGCTCTGCCTGTGTGATGAAAGCTACCCAGAGCCACAGAGGAAGGGCTCTGCCTGTGTGATGAAAGCTACCAGAGCCACAGAGGAAGGGCTCTGCCTGTGTGATGAAAGCTACCAGAGCCACAGAGGAAGGGCCGTGCCTGTGTGATGCCTACCCCTGTGATGCCCATTCATCTGGGGTGGCAGGGAGAGTCTACAGAGAGGTGACTGTCTGACGTAGGGAGGGATCTCTGAGGTCCCAGGGAGTCAGCTCCCTCTCTCCTCCCTCTCTCCTGCTTGCCAGTAGCATACCACCCTGCATCCCACTGCTGGCTTGTCTCTGAAGCTAAGCAGGGTCGGTCCTGAATGGGAGACCAGATGCTGCTGGAAGTGAGGTTGGAGGGCCAGTAGGGGGCACTCTGGCCTAAGGAGCTCCCAATAGAGTACCACAGTATGAGTCATAATACCCATAAAACCTAGTGGTCAATCAAGGAAATGGTTCCAATAGTTTTTCCACCATTCATTTTTCCCCTAGGGGATTTTAGAAACACTTAAAATAAGGGCTGTGTTTCGTGTAGGCTTACCCTGGCGAGACGTTTTGATAACCATGTAAATCTCTTTAGAACGAGGTGACTTTTATCAATATATTTGCCTGTATTTACCCCCCAAAAAGTAAATGCTTCTTAGCTGCTAATGTGGCTATCATAAAGAACTACAAATGCCATGATGATTTGGAGGAGACTGTCTAATCGAGGTAAATGTAAGAATCTCTGGATTAACTATCTAATGTTATCTCAATTTAGGAATAAATAAATTGGCTAAATTTCTTTAAATTGACAATTCTGTGAACTGTTTTGTGCAAGTTTTAAATTGACACAATCCCTGTTAGCAAAGGTGTCAGCTAGAGATGACTTGCAGGAGCTTGCAGGGATTTGTACTTGCATTATGTCTACTTTGATGTTAATTAGCATTTTCGAATCTGAGAGTAAATATAGCTGAATATATTGATAAAAGTCACCTTGTCCGAGAGAGATTTACATGGTTATCAAAAAGTCACACCAGGGTAAGCCTACACGAAACACAGCCCTTATTTTTAATGTTTCTAAAGTTCCCTATGGGAAAAATGAATGGTGGAAAAAAACGATTGGAACCATTTCCCTGTTTGACCGCTAGGTTTTATGGGTATTATGACACCTCTACTGTGGGGCTCTATGCCCCAGGGCAGTGAAGGGGACATTTCCCTGCGTAGGGTCTTTCAGATGGGATTTTTAAATGGGTGTCCTGACTCTCTGTGGCCATTAAAAATCCCATGGCACTTATCGTAAGAGTAGGGATGTAATGCCGCGTTCAAAACAACTGGGAACTCAGAACTCTCCGACTTCAGTGTGTTCAAAACAACTGGGAACTCTGAAAAAAACTAGCTCCAACTGTGAAAAATATTTTTGAACGGTCATCCAACTCGGAATTCCAAGTCGGAGACTCGGGCATCTTTCTAAAGCTACGACCTTCCGACCTGAAGATAACTGACGTCATGATTTGACCTCGTTTTTTCCCCCCCTCGAGTTCCCAGTTGTCTTGAAAGCACCATTAACCCCAATGTCGTGGCTAAATTCCCAACCTGGCTCCATTCCATAACGGCCACCTAATCATCCCTCTCATTCCTAATTGGCATATATCACTCCTCACCTCTCCACCTGATACAGTGGCTTGCGAAAGTATTCACCTCAAGAATTTCCCTGTATTTAGCGCCATCCATCATTCCTTCAATTCTGACCAGTTTCCCAGTCCCTGCCGATGAAAAACATCCACCCAGCATGATGCTGCCACCACCATGCTTCACTGTGGGGATGGTGTTCTCGGGGTGATGAGAGGTGTTGGGTTTGTGCCAGACATAGCGTTTTCCTTGATGGCCAAAAAGCTCAATTTTAGTCTCATCTGACCAGAGTACCCTCTTCCATATGTTATGGGATTCTCCCAAATGCCTTTTGGCGAACACCAATCGTGTTTGCTTTTTTCTGGCCACTCTTCCATAAAGCCCAGCTCTGTGGAGTGTACGGCTTAAAGTGGTCCTATGGACAGATAATCCAATCTCCACTGTGGAGCTTTGCAGCTCCTTCAGGGTTATCTTTGGTGTTTTTGTTGCCTCTCTGATTAATTCCCTCCTTGCCTGGTCCGTTAGTTTTGGTGGGCGGCCCTCTCTTGGCATGTTTGTTGTGGTGCCATATTCTTTCCATTTTTTTATAATGGATTTAATGGTGCTCCATTGGATGTTCAAAGTTTCTGATATTTTTTTATAACCCAACCCTGTACTTCTCCATAACTTTGTCCCTGACCTGTTTGGAGAGATCCTTGGTCTTCATGTGGCCTCTTGCTTGGTGGTGCCCCTTGCTTGGTGGTGTTGCAGACACTGGAGCCTTTCAGAACAGGTGTATATATACTGAGATCATGTGACAGATCATGTGACACTTAGATTGCACACAGGTGGACTTTGTTTAACTAATTATGTGACTTCTGAATGTAATTGGTTGCACCAGATCTTATTTAGGGGCTTCATAGCAAAGGGGGTGAATACATATGCACGCACCACTTTTCCGTAATTTTTTTCATTCCACTTCACCAATTTTGACTATTTTGTGTATGTCCATTACATGAAATCCAAATAAAAATCCATTTCAATTACAGGTTGTGATGCAACAAAGGAGGAAAAACGGGGATGAATACTTTTGCAAGGCACTGTATATGATGTGAGGTGAGCATTCTGGCACAAAATGGTCGCTGTGCATTATCCAGGTGGGTGCTGCACATTGGTGGTGGATGAGGTGAGTTTCCCCATACAATGTAAAGTGCTTTGAGTACCTCAGTTGGTATAAAATAGCTATATAAATCCAAACAATTATTATTATTCTCCTTCCAGTCCTTTAAAACAGGGCTTTGCATCTGTGGCTCTGGTAGTGAACTCATTGATACCCAACAGAGAACAGAGGAATCTCATTTGGTAATTTTCATACAGCGAAGGTTGTATCAGTGACAAACACTAGAATGGAAAACCGCTACAGGTGGAGGGGGATTCAGAGATGAAAAATGTGAGTCGATTCCTTGATACCTAACTTTTATAAAATAAGTATAATCACATCGTCAACTAAAAAAGTTATGAGGGTTTGTC